TTTCCAATTATATATTTGATAGTGTAATTGTATAAGTTGTTGAATGTTGACTATTGATTGATAAGAGACTTTCGTTGAAATAAACTTATGGAGAAAATAAAAAAAATTGAAAAGATGAAAATAGCCTTGTCTAAAAGCAGCATGAAGTGACTCTCCCAAATGAGAGGTCATGGGTTCGAGTCTCGGTGGGGGCGGTATTGACTCGCTAGACTTTAGTATGTTGAAAAAGTATATATGAACATATATTATACTAATATGTCACCCGTGTGATGCACGACTATATAGTTATGGTTATAGTATAATTAAGAAATATAAAATGAGTAATATATATTGACTAAAAGTAAAATAACTCGATGGAATTCAAAATACAATAATCTTACAAATTATTGAAAATTTCTTTGTAAACAACATTTTGTGTATTGTTTCAAACTCAAGAATCAACAAACGTTCACTCCCAAATTCGGTTGTGTATTTATGGGTTGCACAAAGCAAGAGGCAGAATTGTTACTTATTTAAATGTAAAAGGATTAAAACTATCAAACATATCAACAATTTAAAAAGAGTTAATTACCGAAATGGTCCCTTGACTATAATGAAATTATCAATTTGCTCATTACTTATTTTTTTTTACCAATTAAGTCCCTCAACTTTATAATTCTTAACCAATTTGGTCCTTTGTTTGTTTTTTCCGTTAGACATTTGCTAACTCGTGACCAAATTGATAATTTCGCTATAGTCAATGGACCATTTTAGTAATTAACTTTTCGGAGACAATGGTGCATGCGAATGACCACGGGTCGGTTCGAACCGAATTGTGCACTGTTCAAACCGAACCGGAACCGTCGTCATTCCGATTCCAAACTAAAAAATAAATTTAAAATTTTTTAATTATTATTTATTATTTGATTAAAGTTTAATTATTATTTGATTAAAATTTAAACTTTAAATAACATTTTAAAGTTCTACGATAACAATTTTTTTAAAAATATAGTTTAACTTTGAAGTTTAAATATTTCATATGACTATTTTAAAAACATTTTAGAATGAAAAATTTTCAAAAAGAAAAAAAATAATTGTTGAATTTTGACAAATTTAAAAATACAAAATAAAATTTACAAAAATAAAAAAATCCGGTTTGAACCGGAACCGCCGGTTCCAAAACCGGATGTGTAACCTTTATACAAGGTTCAATTCCGACTTGGTCGATTCCATAACCGTGAACCGTCATTTTGGAACTGGAACCAAACTGTGGCCATGACTACATGTGAATATGTGATGACCGAAATAGTTCATTGACTATAGCAAAATTACCAATTTGGCCCCGAGTTAACGGATGTCTAATGGCAAAACAAATGGAGGACCAAATTGGTTAAGATTTTTAAAGTTGATGTACTTAATTGGTTTAAAAAAATAGTCAAGGACCAAATCGGTAATTTCGCTATAGTCAAGGGACCATTTCAGTAATTAACTCATTTAAAAATTAAAGAATGAATACATATGTTGTAAGATAATAATTTACCGTTTGTCAAATTAGCAAATGGTTCTCTAATAAAATTAGAATAAACCTGGACTATGTGGTCCAATGGTACCCGGGTTGGACTTCCATTTGAAAGGTTGTGAGTTCGAGCCTCAATGGAGGCGTTATTAGCTCTTTGTGTTTCAATAGGTTGAGAAAGCATATGCACAGATACTACGATGTAATAGAGCTAGTAGCATTCAAAAAAAAATTAGAATAAACCATGGTCCTGTTGAAATTAGTCATGTACCGATGTCCATATCCTCAGATAAATAAGTTGATGGTGTTTGAATGTTTTTATTTTCTGAGAAGAGACATTCAATATGTGTAAGAAGTAAAAGGATATGTAAACATTTAATAACTAAAGCATTGATTAAATATCAAAATAAAAAATTTTACACAGAATATGAACACGATAATACCTTAATAATTAGAGTGCTCACTACTTCGTTGATATTTTAAACAGTTTTTTAACTCTAGTTTGTTTTATATTGTTGAAGAAACCAGTTCATAAGAAGTTCATGAAGAAACAAACAATCTAAAAGGAAGAAAGGTTAAAAAATGTTCACACTTACCTTGGTTAGCTGTTATGTTCTTTCTTTTTCCTCCGATCACAAGTTATCATCCTCATTGACTTACAAAGAAGATTCTTCAAATAGGGTTTATGAATAATATTGTATATGATTAGTTTAGGTGTATACCATGGTGTATTAAGATTTGAGGAATAAAATCTCACTTAGGGTCTGTTTGGCAGAGCTTATTTAGGAGCTTATAGCTTATTTTAAGCTAGTAGTAAGCCATAAGCTATGTTTGGTAATGTTTCCAAAATAAGCTCCTAGCTTAAAATATGAGCTTATTTTAAAACGCTACCTTAGGTGGCCTTTCAAAATAAGCTACTAGCTTCCTAACATTTTTTTCATCTTTATCCTTATTATTTTAAAGAAATGACATACTCTACCCTTCTCAATTAAAACTCTTTTTTCTTCTCATCAACTTTCACCGCATGACAATCCCTTCATCTTCATTCGCACTCTGCTCCCTTCATCTTCATTCGCACTCCATCATCCATCAGCCATCGCACTCCGTAGAAGCATCGTTCACCAGCCATCGTACTCCGCAACATCAGCCATCGCACCCCACAGTCCCATCAATGAAAATTTAAGTCAGACCTCTATTGAGATGAAGGAGATTCGCAACAATATTGCTACATCATTATGGGATGCTAGATCATGATTATGCTAATAGTTTTATTTCAAAATGTTAATTTATTTTGAAGACAAAATGTTAAATTTTAATATGTAAACAAACTACTTTAAATTTTTTGAAGATGTCATTTTTAGTCTTTTTACATTTATCAACTAATCAAAAAACTAATTTTACCAAACAATTTCAATCATAACAGCTAGCTTAACAGTTCTTCAGTTTTCAGCTCCTAACTAATAGCTTTTCAACTTTTCAGCTCCTAGCTTATAACTTTTCAGCTAGATTTATCAAACAGAGCCTTAATCACTTAACATAAATAAAATTCAGAGATTACCTTAAAAAAAAAAAAAAATCATCCAAAACTACATCATTTTACTATGCGGAAAAAATACCACAATTTGATTCACCAAAGTTGTATAGCTTTATTAGAAATCCCACCACCCGAGTTCCACAATCAGCCGTGTCTCTATCTCCAGTCTCCACTCCCAGAGTTTTCTCTGTGTGGCGTCTGCTACTCTGCTCCACCGCTAATCTTCAAGAGGAATATAATAGCATTCTGTTTCCCTTCCGCTTTCCTAACCCGCAAAGGCCCAAACCAAATTAAACATCAGAGGTGAGGGTTTCTAATCCGTCACTTTTTCCCCAAAGCAGCCCAACTTGTTAGACCATTCTTCTTAGTACGTAAATAATGCCCAACTTCCCCAGCTATAATTATATTGTCAGTAATTAATCTGTCCGGCACAAACGCGCTTTGCGTAGCTGAAATTACAACATCCAGAACCATCTTCAGTCTATTAGCAATCACTTTTGTCAGAATTTTATAAGTAACGCTGCACAATGCTATCGGACGGAGATCCGAAACACGTTTAGGCACCCATATTTTAGGAATTAAAACCACATTCGTCTCATTAATCCCAACGGGTAAGTGACAATTGGCAAAACAATCAATTATAAGTCTACAGAGATCATATCCAATAATTGACCAAAATGCTTGGTAGAAGGCTAGTGACATACCATCTGGACCTGATGCTTTATCGGGGGCCATTGAGAATAAGGAATCTTTAACTTCTGAATGTTCAATTGGACGCATCTATTGTATATTCATAGCATGAGAAATTCTTGATGTCACTCCACTCATGAGCCCAGCATGACATGAGGAACTACGAAAAATATCTTTATAATAATCTAAGACCACGGAATGCATTGACCTGCCATCAACATAATTGCCATTATCATCCTTCAATCTGTGAAGATAATTGCCACTAACTCTATTACATTGTAGTATACTTTCTCATACTTTCTCAACCTACCGAAACACAAAAAGCTAATAACGCCTTCACTAAAACTAGAACTCACAACCTTCTAAATGGAAGTCCAACCCGAGTACCATTAGACCACATAGTCTTTGTCCTAATTAATCACTTAACATAGTGAAAGGTTCCCGTGCATTTGTTGTTTCCCGTGCGGATGTGCGGTGGATTAATGTGCGTGAAATTTGTACTCAATGTGCGTGAGTGTTGTGTTTAATGTGCCTGAGATTTGTACTTAATGTGCGTGAATGTGCAAAATGCAGTAGAAAATATTATGCCAGCTTCTTCCCCATCCCCAGTAGCCATTTGCCCCCTCCCTGATGATGATGATGCGGAGGCGAGCTATGGAGGTTAAGAATTATGAGAATAATACAACAGAAATCCACACTTTGTTGCTGTGCAAATTTTACTGTGCGTGCGTTATTTATATAAACATTCAACTGTATTGAAGGTAGTTGATAACCCAGAATCCATGGCCAAATTGAAGGAAGAAGTAACAAAAAGCTTTGGCGTTAATGTGCGTGAGTTTCTGTTCTGCTTCCTTCTGAGCTCGTAATTCTGAAATACTCAGGCACATTAAGCACAAATCTCACGCACATTAAACAGAATACTCAGGCACATTAAGTACAAAACTCACGCATATTAACATGACGCACATTAAGTACAAATCTCAGGTACATTGAGTACAAATCTCACGCACATTAAGTATAAACCTCACGCACATTAATCCACCGCACATCCGCATGGGAAGCAACAAATACACCTGATTCCTTCCCACTTAACATAAATAAAATTCAGAAATTACCTTTAAAAAAAAATCATTCAAAACGACATCAGTTTACTATGCGGAAAAAATACCATATATTTTTTTAGAAATTAAATACCATAATTTGATTCGCCCAAAGTTGTATAGCTTTATTAGAAAACCCTCCACCCTAGTTCCACAATCAGCCGTCTCTCTATCTCCAGTCGAGTCTTCTCGTGGCGTCTGCTACTCTGCTCCACCGCAAATCTTCAAGAGGAATAGCATTCCGTTTACCTTCAGCTTTCCTAATCCGCAAAGGCCCAAACTAAACATCAGAGGTGAGGGTTTCTAATCTGTCACTTTTCCCCTAATCTCTGTTTTCTTCCCAACTCTTCGCTTCCTAATTTCCTTTTTATTTACGAAATATGGAATCTTGCAGTTGAAGAATAGAACGATTTTAGCATTTGATTTCGACTGACGCCTCATGGATGCAAGTAGGGATTTAATAATAGAGCTGCCGATAGAGATAAAGGACAGAATTTTAGAGTGTTTGCCCACCCGAGACGCCGCCAGAACTGCTCTTCTCTCAAGGCACTGGAATGATGCTTGGTTGCAGCATGGGCGGCTTGTGTTCGATCGGGAATTCTTGGAAAGTCTCCAACAGCGCCAAGATGATAAGAAAATCTTGGATGGTAGAACCTCCGTGAACATAATCAATAATATCCTGTTTCACCGTGCTTGGCCGGTTAAGAAATTTACTCTACACATTCCATGTGCTGATCTTATGCAGCAGTCTGATTTTGATAGGTGGTGTCTTTTTCTTTCACAAAATGGTGTGGAGGAACTTGACATATTTTTATATAGTGATCTAGCGCCAGTTTATGAGCTGCCATTTTGTTTACTCTCTTGCAGGACAATTAAGAAACTGATAGTCCAAGGTGTGATTATTGATTTGCCTGTAAATGCTTGTGATATATTTTCCAATGTCACTTCATTAGAGTTCTTTTATGTTAAATTTAAGCGCGGTGTTAATGAAATTGCCTCTAGTATTAGTATTCCTAATCTTGAGAAGCTGGCTTTCGAAGATTGTGATGAGATCGATGAGTTTGAGATCAGTAGTCCTCCAAAGCTTGAAATGTTATCTGTTATTGATTTTATGTATGATGTATATGCTTCGAGATGGTTGACACCGCATTTGAAAGCCATTAAGACTCTTCGGTTGTGTGGCTCTTTGTTGAGGGTGAGAACTTAACTCATTTTACTTGATGCAAATGGATGGATAGATATAATTCTTTACCATTTGGCTTGTTGTGGTTAATTTTGTTTTGTTATTGCTATTTTTCTAGTATATGGATGCATCTATGTTTCCAACTGCAATAAATCTGCAAGTGATGAAGCTACATGAATTAAATATTGATTGTCGGGAGGAGCTTGCCGTTGCTATGCAATTGCTTAAAAGATGTCCTAACCTATGTGAACTGCATATTTTGGCGCAGGAGGTTGAGTATATATATTTGGCAATCATGTGTGGTTCTTGTTTTGCTTTTTCAAATGTCCTCATTGTTGTGCTTGTCTTTCATTTCTTCTTGAGTTATAGTTCGGTTCGAAGGATTACAAAGAAGCTGCTTCAAGGCTTTTGGAGGATCCAGATAGTTGCTTTGTTAGTAATGAGCTGAGAATGCTTAACACAATCAAGATTGAATCAAAGTGTGCATCTGCGCTCCAAATGCTTTTTATAAAAATGTTACTTTCAAAATCTCCTGCGCTAGAGAGATTTGTTCTGAAGTTTTGGGATATGAATGCCCTCGAGGTGAGAAAAATCCAAAGGAAGTTGGAATGCTTTCCGCGTGCATCTTCAAACGCACATTATATTGTCTTCACGGACAATGATAATGATTCTATGGGTATGGATTACTGGCAACATTGGTTTAGCCTTTCACAGACTTGGTGAATCTCCATGGGTTCAATCTTTAGAAATGTAAGCAATGGTAGTGTTGGAAGTTGAAATGTTTTCTAAAGTTGTTTAGCATGATTTGGCAAGCATTGTGGGCAATTAAGAATGTTCCTCTATTTGCGTTTGTTAATAAAATACTTCAATTATGTTTTTTTTTTCCATAAATTAGTTCATCTAACAATGTTAATGTTATTTACTTACTCCCATAGTGAACTTGGTTGAAGGAAAGAAGGGTGTTTTTGGTAGGGAGAGGAGGAAGAGGGTATTTCAAACACATCATTATGAGAAGGCACAACTGTACTGTTGAGTAGATTGAATAGAAGTATATGCACTAAAAATACTCCAAACAATTTTGTATGAAGAGTACTTGCAATTAATTAACTTAAAACAAAAAATGAGGTGTGCTAGTACATTCAAAATTTGGTAAGGATTCTCACAAACCATTACGAACTTATAGTAAAGATTGAGGGGATGCATAAAATTAAAAGAAATTAGGATCAAATAGGCCATCGAACTGCACACGATAATGCAATTAGGTCAAAAACTTACAATTGGATCCCTAAACTAACCAAATTCATGCAAATCCTCCAATTTGCAAGTTTCCAAAAGGTCATCCCAAATTAAATTATTTGTTTTTAAAAAATAACTATTTAATATTTATATATATATATATATATATATATATATATATATATATATATATATATATATATATATTTTAAAAAGGACTTCCGGCAAGCGACCTTCTTTGTCTCCAAGCGGTTTCTTCGTCTCAATGGACGGAGACGAAGAAACCGGCCGTAGACGAAGAAACCTTCTTCGTCTCCGGCCGGAAGTTTTGTTTTTTTTTTTTTTTAATTTTAAATAATTATTTTTTAAAATTTATTTTTTTAAAAAATAATTTAATTTGGATGACATGTTGGAAACCTGCAAATTGGAGGCTTTGCATGAATTTGATTAGTTTAGGGACTAGGGACTCAATTGTAGATTTTTTTTAGGTTCAGTGATCTAATTGTATTATCTGCAGTTGCCTATTTGACTCTTATTCCAAATTAAAATGATTATTTGTACGCAATTTTTGCTTTTGTGGAGGCATTAATGAAATGTAAAAGCTCCTGGCCTACATAATTTTAAACTCGCAATTATAGTTAAACAGCTAATCTCGAGCAATGAAAACCTTCTCAATTCTTGGAAAGCAACCAAGTAACACCATGATGAATAATTACATTTCATACCTATACCCTAAACCCATTAAATCGGCTGAACTTCAAAGTGCAAAGCATTTTTTGTGCTTGAACCACACTAGTAAGTTCCTCCAAAAGTTCAAATTCCTTTGGATTTAATTGAAAAAACAAAAATCAATCAGTTTATAATTTACATAACTAATTTGCATTAAGAAATGCAACAATAATGGATTCAATTAGAATTTTTCTTCATCGGTAATACATGAATTTTACTAGTGTCTTTACTAGTCATCAATTTCTCCAACTCTTTTGATCCTAAACTAGAGTCTTCCAATTTAGATAAGTGGTTTCTTTTTTTATCAAGAAATGGTGTTGAGGAACTTTACATATCTCTTTGGGGCCGTCATAATAAGCTGCCATTTTGTATAGTCTAGCCTTGTGCCCCACAATTAAGCAACTGAGACTCTATGGTTTGAGTTTTGATTGCCCAATAAATCTCCTTCTATATTACCCTGTGTCAGTCACTTCATTAGATTTTACAAAAGTTATTTTTAATCATATTGTTAATGGAATTGTCTATAGAATTCCTAATCTGAAGAAGCTCGGTTTAATTTGTTGTGAAGGGATCAATAATTTTTAGATCAGTGCCCCAAAACTTGAAAGCTTGTCTATTTTTAATTTTTAACCTTGGAGTACTGGAGTCAATAGTATGTAAGGCTTTTAATTTTTTTTTTTTTTCTTTCTAAAGGCTCCATTAAGGCTTTCTAAATTGATGAAAAATGCAATTGAATCGTAATATTAAACAACCTATTAAGTGTTACTGTTGATTTTGATTTAGAACTCGGGGGTTTCAATTTTGATTTTGATTACCCGGTAAATGTTGCTATTGGTTGTATATTTCATGGCGTCACTTCATTAGTTTTCAATGAGGTTGAGTTTAAGAGTAGAATTAGTGGAGGAGTCGTCTCTAATCTTGAGAAGCTTTCTTTCTGTTTTTGTGTTGGGATCAATAATTTTAAGATATGTGCTCCAAAACTTAAAAGCTTGGATTTGGCTTTTGTTTTTTATGCGGTTGAACAGAGGTCGTGTTCGCCAAATTGGAGAGTATTTAAGGCACTTTGTTTATATGGCCGTGATTTGTTATTGGTGAGATTCTTTACTTTCTCCTCATCTTAAAGCAAGTATATATGCCTGCATTGATGTGCGGGCAGCTCAATTGGGCGTTAGATGGTGTTGGAGTTGTATGTTTCTGTACACCAAACACAAGTTTTCCCACCTCAAATCACTATGTATGTTAATGTGGTTTACTCCTCCACTATCTTATCATATTGGGTCTGAGGCAAAAAAGTTTTACCTTTTGTGGTCAAAGATTTTATTATTATTATTATTATTATTATTATTATTATTATTATTATTATATTTTTTTGGCTTTCTGGCTTGTTCAATTAGAGTTTTCTCATGACTAATTTTTGTTTTCTTTACTGTTTTTCAGCTTGATGATGTTGTAGTAGTGGCACAGGCGTTCCCAACAGCAAATCTGCATGTAAAATGGGTGATGGATTCAGATTCTGACTTTGGTCAGATCACTCTTGCTTTGAAATTGCTTGAAAGATCCCCCAACCTATACGAACTGGAGATTAAAGCAGAAAGCATGCCGGTAAGACATGTAATCTACAGAAATCATGTTTTTTTTCCTCAAATTAACTCACGATTGTATGTGTTTTGTGGAAGATTTATATAGGGATGGTGTATTAGAATATCCTTTTTTGAAAATTTACTGTAACCACTCATAATCTCCATTTACTCACAATTATTGCTTATTTTGACAGCTAGTATCTAATAGTATTAGCTCGAGAGAATTTTGATATTTTTCATAACTTTTCCTTCCCATGTTGAATTATTTGGTTGCAACCCCAGAAATTTGTCAACAACTTCTATCTAGGTTGCTTATATAGGGTGATTAAAAATATGTAGGAAAGTGTATCTCATGCACACATGGAGTGGATGGTTTGATTCTTTGTTTTCCCTAACATGCACGTCTTTCATCCTTGTTGAGTTATAGTCAAGGGGAAGGGTTCAGGTGTGGGTATAGCTTCCCGTGCGGTTGTGCGGTTAGATCTGAGCTGTTGATCAAATTTAGATCAACGGCTCAAATCAATAAAAATTAAAAAAAAAACGCGTGTCGAGAAGAAGATAGCACCTACACAGCGTCTACACAAATGATAGCGTCTGCACAACCTCATGCACATTAAGTACAAACCCCACACACATTAAGCACAGCCTCACGCACATTAAACACAAACCCCACGCACTTTAAATATTAACTCACAGATTTTAAGTTTCAACAACTATTGACATTAAGCACAACCTCACGCACATTAAGTACAAACCCCACATACATTAAGCACAGCCTCACGCACATTAAACACAAACCCCACGCACTTTAAATATTAACTCACAGATTTTAAGTTTCAACAACTATTGACATTAAGCACAACCTCACGCACATTAAATACAAACCCCACACACATTAAGCACAACCTCACGCACATTAAGCACAAACCCCACGCACTTTAATATATTAACTCACAGATTTTAAGTTTCAACAATTATTGACATTAAGCACAACCTCACGCACATTAAGTACAAACCTCACACACATTAAGCACAACCTCACGCACATTAAGCACAAACCCCACGCACATTAATCACAGATCCGCTCACCTTAATTTTGACCTACATGCAAAAATTACAAAATTGCCACCGCGTTTTTTTTTTTTTTTTTAATTTTGACAATTCTGGACGTTGATTTAAGCGAGATGAATGGTCCAGATTAAACCGCACAACTGCACCTGGGCACCCTAACCGCACCAGAACCTAATTCTATAGTCAAGTATGTGGATTGACAAAGATGCTATACTCCAAGAATTATGAAGGATTCTTGCTTTATCAATCAAGATTTGAAGACGCTTAAGACAATAATCAAGATTGGTCCTTTAGCAGTTCCATATTGGATATGCATATTACGGCAGCATTTTTAAAATTGTTGAACCTTGTTGGAGCGTTTGCAAGAACTTAATTAAGCTTAGCTCGTTCTTTCGTTCTTTCAGGTGGATGTAACTGATTGTCCACTATTTATAGTTAAACAACTGGTTGTCCGCTATTTAAATCAGAGCTCCAAAACATCATTAATATGTCCTCCTCATGACATTAATCAAGATCTGAAAATGCTTAACACAATCAAGATTGATTCAGTTAGTGGATCTAAATGCGAAATGTTGTTTGCACGGCGGGCAGAATTCGTCAATATTACTATATGAGGTTGTTTTTCCTATGTACAAGTCTTTTAATACTTTAATATACGGGAAGCTTATTGTTGCCTATTGAAGCTCACCTAGTATCTATGTTATTTAAGTACTCCCATAGTGCAGTTGGTTGAAGGAAAGAAGGTTGTTTTTGATAGGGAGAGGAGGAAGAGGGTATTCCAAACACATCATTACACCCTATTGAACTTATACCAAATATTGAGGAGATACATAAAATTAAAATAATTATATGTAAAGTAATTTCTGCTTTTGTGGAGGCACGAGGAAATCGTAAAAGTGTCACTCGTTATCCGAGTCAAACATTAGAATTCAAATAATGACAACCTTCTCAAATAATGGATTATATTGCATTTCAAACCTCAACCTGTTAAATTGCATTTTCTATGTTTGAGCCACACTATTAAGTTCCTTCAAAAGTATAAAATCATCTGATCTTGATTTAACTTCAAGAAGTAATAACAAAACATAAAAATAAATAATCAATCAGTTCATAATTTACATAACCAATTTGCATTAAGAAATGCTACAATAATGGATTCGATCAATTAGAAT